TCCAATCAATTGGATCAACTCAATCTAATCCAAATCGGATTTTTAATTTGTGAATTTGGATTGGATTAAGACGTCGACTCAATCCAATCCAAATGAATTTGTGAACGCACCCCATGTCTCGACCATTGCAATTTAAGCTACACAGTGCTGCCTATAATGTGTGACAGGTTACACCGATTATATGAGGCAAAAAAAAAGTTTCTTTTTATTCAGATCCAAAATGAAGAAAAATGTAGGAAACTACAATTGACGTTATGAATTGATATACTAAGTACAAGATTAAGTGATTAACTTTATCTATAAAATAGACCAACATATGTATGTCGAAAGATTAGATTTTTTTTTTGGCGCGATCTTGTAACACGAAAGAAAAGATTAAATCTCGATCACGAAATCACGACATCACGAAAATTTGACGCGATCCACTATTTATAATGCAATAAAAAATCTTATATAAAGTAAAAAAAAAAAAAAAATAAAAAAAATTACAAATACAAAATACAAAATAAAATAATAAATAAAAATAATTAACATTAAATTTATAGGAGAAGAAAATTCCATTTTTATAACAATCCACTCTTAACTCATTCATCCGAATCACTTCAATTTCACTCGTTTAACCATTTAGTTAATTTAACAATTTGTTCTTTCACCGTTTGTTTACTAGTACCACCAAGACTGCACCTATTTTCGATACTTTTTTCGTAATCCCAAATTAAACTCACATCATCTTCAAAGGCTAGGTGAAGTTGTTTAAAATCTTCTAAAGTTAAATGATCCATCGTCGTATTACGATCTTCTGCTAAACGTACTGCCTCTCCTGCAATATGATGAGTTTCACGGAATGGAACCTTCGGATGTAAACATAACGATACAAAAAAGAAATTAGAATTGATTTTATAATCATTAGAGAACCTATCACCAAGTAAATAATATAATTACCCCTTTACGAACTAAATATTCAGCTAAATCAGTAGCCAACATATCAATACTTAGATTTTGTTTCATTCTTTCAGGATAAATCTATAAATATAAAATTAGGAGGGGATGTTAAAATCTTTGAAAGTTGAATTTCAAGTAACAATTTTGACCATTATTTACTTACAGTGAGAGTTGATAATACACCAGCAGTGATTTGTAAAGAACCAGCAAGTGTATCCACAGCATCAAACAATGGTTCTTTGTCTTCTTGTAAATCCTTGTTATAGGTACTTGGAAGCCCCTTATATGTCATCAAAAATCCAGATAGCTAGAAAAATGACAAGTTGTAATTGATGAGAATTTTTTTTTTCCTTTAGAGTTCACCCCCCCTCTTTTTGTCATAATTCCTACCTGTCCATAAACACGACCAGATTTACCACGTAACAATTCAAGACTATCGGGATTTTTTTTCTGGGGCATTAAACTACTTCCAGTACTATAAGCATCAGCCAAAGTGACGAAACCGAATTCACTTGTGGAATATAAAATCAAATCTTCGGAAAATCTACTGATATGTATCATAGTCATAGAAGACCAAAATAATATTTCAGCAACAAAATCTCTATCACTAACTCCGTATAAACTATTTTGAATGACATCTTTGAAACCCAATTCTTTTGCTAAAAACTCTCTATCAATGTTAAATGGATTTCCTGCTAAAGCACCACTGCCTAACGGAAGTAGATTTAATCTATCAATTATTTGTGATAATCGTTCTGCATCTGCTTGCCAACTCCATGCATATGTTAATAACCAATGACTCCATCGGATTGGTTGCGCTCGCTATTTTATACGTGAGGAAAGAGGAAGAAATTCACAAATTAACAAATCACATTTTTTTTGAGGGGATTAAAATGCATAAGATACATGATAAACCAACCTGAAGATGGGTGTAACCGGGCATGATCACATCAATTTCTTTACCAGCTCTTTCAACAGCAGCACCAATCAATTGTTTCAAATAAACGAGTAATTTCTTTGCTTCCTCTCTTGCCCATAATCTTAAATCAGTAGCAACTTGATCATTTCTACTTCTTCCTGTATGTAATTTTCCAGCAACACTGCCAACTATTTCGCCTAACCTTCTTTCGTTAGCAGTATGAATATCTTCATCACCTTCCCTGATAATAAAAGTACCTTCCCTCCACTCTTTAAGTACGTCTTCAAGTCCATTAACTAAAGAATCTTTTTCTTCTGTGGTAAGAATATTACGACGAGCTAATGCTTTTGCGTATGCTTGAGAACCTAATATATCTGCCTCGTATAACTTTTTATCAAAATTGATTGATGCGTTAAATTTGTCCATTAACGGGTCAGTTTTTCCACTGAAACGACCGCCCCATAATTTTGCTGATGTCATATTTATTTTTTGCGTTTTGAAATTTGAAAAAAAAAAATCAAATAAAATCAAATAAAAATGAGTGAATGTCGAGAAATATAAATTTTTTTTTTTGTTTTCAGAACGAAATTATTTATAATTTTTTGAGATGAGATTTTTAAAAATGATTTGCGATTACATGATTACATAATACAAGATTGATAAAAAAGGATAATTTTGTACGGATTTCACCGAATTAAGCATTGGTATAATTTTTAATCAATCTTCTGATGTGAGATGATTTTTGTTAATTTGCATATTTATTTGTTTGTTTTGTTAATTTATTTGGATAAATTATTACTAATTTATAGATGATTTAAATGATAAAAAATTAGATTCATCTTATTGGGAAAGAGGATTGAAGATGACATCACGTTTTTACCTAAATAGTATTTTAAACGAAGAATATTTTATCGTTTATTATAAAGATTAACCAATAAATTCAAATTATTAATTGCTAAATGAAGGTTAGACGTTTTTATAGCATATGTTTTATTTATAATTTATGCCTTGTTGCATATATAAATATTTTTTTATAGGTCTTTTTCTGATTCGTAAAGCTTTTATATTTACATTATCTTTTTTTGGTTGTCCTTTTCTTTAGACGATTTTTTAGGGGTTGGATCGCTTCAGTAATTTTTTTTTAATTATATTTTTCTATTAATTTTTCTTTTTTCTTTTTCATTTGATGGCTTCGGACCACCCTTTATTTTTTTTCCTTAGAAGTGTTGGATCGTTTCAGGAGTTTTGATTTTTTAATTTTAAATCTAATCTAACATACAAAAGAAATAATATTCTAAAGCAATGCTGTGACAACGGGGAGGTAGTATCTTTGATGTGCGAACGGAGGTTCGACCATTGTGGCACAGTACGCGTTGTGATATGATTAAAGATGCTTTAAAGAAAAGGAAAATACTTACCCTTTTTTTACAAGGAATATAAGAATTTGTCAAAACGAATTGGTTTCGTGAAAATTAAAAAGTAGTCCAGTCATATTATTGATAATATATACAAGTTCGTTTCGAGAAAAGTTATATTATTTTAATTATTTTAACAATTTTAGAAATTATTTGTTATGGCATATAATTACATCATATTTATAAATAATAAATAAGTCTATGACCGATACATCTGAATTTCGTATTCATTTTAGCATAAAAATTATTTCAAGTTGTTATAAAATAAATTTAAACTCTATGACTATATGTTTCTGGATCCTACAATACTAGAGGACGAATCATCATAATAAAACTAAGATTTTGTTAGTAGCCTTTTCCATAAAAAGGGGGAAGGGCTCTATACATTATAGAAATTCCTCACGATCTCATTATTCGATCTTGCACGCGAATGACTCCACCTCGCAGTATGTCCACCATATCCATTCTGAGTACTCGGATTATATCGACTTGAAAACGGGTTAAATGCATCAGCTCGATGAGCGATATGATTTAGTGCATAATCGAATAATTCATCGCCGTCGGTGATGTAAGGATTTATCGATTCGTTGTCGTTGCTGGAAGAACAACAACTGAAACATTTACTATAAATGTATCCAAGAAGTACAAATAAGAACCAGGAAGAAAGGAAGAAGATTATTCTGCTTCTGAAGAAGTTGGGAAGAAAGTCAGGAAAGAATTCTTTTTTTTGAGAAAAAAAAGTTATAAGTCCACTTAATAGGAAGGTTATGATTAGAAATCGCCCAGAAAATGGGCTAAATGAATCAGCGTGATGTGCGATATCGTTAACAAGAACTCTGTAGCCGGAAGAACAATGACGGAAACATTTAGTGTAGAAGTATCCGAAAAATAATAATAAGAACCAGGAAGAAAGGAAGAAGATTGTTCTGCTTCTTAAAAAGTCGGGAAGAAAGTCAGGAAAGAATTCTTTTTTTTGAGAAAAATAAGTTATAAGTCCACTTAATAGGAAGGTTATGATTAGAAATCGCCCAGAAAATGGGCTAGATGAATCAGCGATGTCGTCTGTTAAAGTTATATTATATTCATCATTTTCACTGGAACAACAACTGAAACAATAATTGAAGATGAATCCAAGAAATGACAGACAGAACCAGGAAAAGAAAAAAAAGTTTAATTTGTTTCTGTCAGGAAAGAAGTCAGGAAAGAGCTCGGGAAAGAAATTTTTGCTCTGGGCATAGAAAGTTAGGAAGACGCTTAGTAATAAGGTTCTAAGTAATAAACGAAGCATTTTTGGGGGTTGAATTTTTAAATGAGCGAAAATGATCTTTAAATAACTAAAAGGTGCTTTTGTTTTCCAAACAAGAAAGAAAAGATCTTCGTCACACTAAAATGCTGTGCATATAATTGATTTCCATAAACACCAACAATAGCAGTTAATAATATGGCTAATAAAAATATCCTTATCGTACCCAGATTTTTTTTAAAAAAAAAAAGGAATCTGCATCTAACACAGAATCTATATCATACCTACAACAAGAGTTTCAAATTAAAAATATTATTAGTATAAATATAAGCAAAAATTTGTTAAAATATTAATTTAACATATCGACATAAAAAATTAAAAAAAACAAATTTTTATTAAATAAAGTAGTATAATGATAATTATATTATTTTTATACTCAAACTTTAATATCGTGACTACTATGTCAGCACAATCAATATTACAAGACTTATCTGAAGAAACAATTCTTGAGAAATGTCGACGCATGACGTATGTAATTACGACTCAATAAAAAAGTTATTGGCCAATAACTATATATTATTTTAAAATTCTATAATGCCGGCCGAAAATCACGAGGGATGAATTTTTTGTGGTGGCAAAATTTCGCTCGTCTTGAAAATTCGGTAAAAAAGTATTCAAGTCCTTTTTTTGAGGTTAATATCTTTTGAATCAAGAATTTCGGATTTTATTTTTTAAAATTATCTGCTAATAAATAATTTTCCAAACGTTAATTAAGTTGCGTCTATCGGTCAATGGACCGTTGACCGGCCAATTTAACAATAATATAATTTAAAGTTCTTGATTGATAATTTTAATTTATACATGGCATTTACTAAAACTTCCTATTTTTATATATTTTACTTATTTCTTTTAGGCTAACTTGATATGCATATTAAGTTTACTTACATATTTAGTGATGCAGCTTATCACGATCTTTTTTTTTAAAAATAAATTACAAATCTTTATTTATAAAAAATAACATCACATCACTTAAAATTATTGTTATTAATTAAAAGCAAGGATTACTAATTAAAAAATGTTTGGTCAACCAGTCGGTCAAAATCGGTCAAAATCGGTCGGTCAACCGATCAGTCAGAAACCCGATATCGGTCACGGTCATGAACGTAACCATTAGCATCCCTAGTTGCGTCAATTACTAAGCCGATTAATTAAAAGAATTAATCGTTAAAATTTAATAACATCTACACGTATCCAAGTAATAATAGTTCAACTTATGTCACAATACATGTAATCGCGGCTTGTATTTTTTTAAAATTTTTTAACTGGGAATGTATTGCTTCATCAAATACATAAATTATCTTATATATGTGATTGCCAATTTATTATTGTTCTCCAGACTAATAAAAATGTTATATGTCGATTTCAACATACATTACATACTGTATATTACTTTATTGCGATATTCCGTCATCGAAATTTCTTAGCAAATATGATCAAGAAGAAAAACTTAACGAAATAATTAAGCGTTGGAGTGATAACCATTACAATTACAAAAAGAAATGGAATTAAATATACGCGGAGTGCTACTTCATAATTTCCTTCTAATGATTAAAATAATGATGAGTTGGTCGCTCCAACGACCATTTTCGTTAATCACCAAGAGACACTACACCAAGACCTAGAACATGATAATGCTTTACTGTGCCCCACAAAGTTAATAACAGACAAGGGACAAATTCAAATAACACCCACTTGAAAGAATAGCCAATTCTTCAAGAAAATTTCTTCTAAACGTCGATAATGGAGAGTCCAACGTTCTAAGCGATAATAAATATGATAAAAAAAAAAAAAATAGAAGGTGGGAAGGGTCAGACCAGATTCGATCGAAAGAGAGTCTGACATCCAAACAAATGTCATCCAAATAGTATTATTCTGCTAAAGCTTACTCTCGTGCTTCAGAGAAATTGGGCACATAGGTTTACACAGTCTCAAGAGGATAATCCCACCAAGAGACGCCACCAAGACTTAGGACATGATAACGTTTTTACTGTGCTCCACTAGACCCCACAAAGTTAATAACAGACAAGGGACAAATTCAAATAACACCCACCTAAAAGAATAGCCCGATACTTCAAGTTGTTTGTCATTCAAAAATTCATAGTACTAACAAATACAAGAACCACTCTCGTCCACGATAAAGGAAATATTTGACTTTACCGTACCCCTAAATATTAGTAATATCAAAATAAAATTTATGGTGGGAATGACTTCGAAAACACGAAAAAGACGCGTTGCTTGGCAAGTTGATTTTGAAAATTGCAAACATAGATTGCTCTCTATGCAAATACGAGTAAAAATTTTGAAAAAAAAAAATTTAAAAATGAACGCGAAGTCGAGAGAGAAACCAGAATTGTTTACAAAATCATTTTTATTCATAAAATCACATGGTTATATGAAATCATACTCCATAAAAAAATTTTATGATGATCTTTCTTTATTAAGAATTTGGTGTGACTTAAAGTACATTTAATCATTGTAATAATTAGTATATAGAAATACGTACATTCACTAATATTACAGTAAATATTAATATGCCAATTAAGCAAGAGTGTATGAATCCTCTTTGTTTTTCAAAAGTTACAATTATAAATAATTCTCATTTACCAATGTATTCTAATATGTTATACAAAATTGAATTTTTGAAAATCACTATAATTCTTATTTTCATCTTGTAATTTAAAGTAAATATTTTCTTTATAAAACTTGAGCATATAATAGTAATAAAATATGATCAATATTAATAATAAAATAATTAGTTTTATATGATAAATAATACCTTTTAAGAATATTTATTGAAAAGTTTTATAAGATAATATCTAAACTTACTTCTGTTTTTCTAAATACATGATCAATTTGATAAATCTATATTTCAAATATAGAATATATATGATTATTATAAAGAAAATAGGTTTTCTTTAAATATACTAACTAAGATATCTAATAATTCTTCCTTGATTATCAAGTTCAAGAAATTCAATGTTAATAGAATTCAAGGCTTTCTTTAAATTCATGAATTTTAACTTTTCATTCAAGATAATTTAACCTTTTTCAAGAATATAAGAGGTAAATATAATTGTTGATTGTTAACATTTCATGTTCTAATTAAAAATGTTTTGAGTTTGAGAATAAGCAAACAAATATGTTGCAATTATATTTGATTTTGCAATTAATTATAAAGTTATTTAATTCTCCTATTGCTTTTATTATCCTATACATTTCATTCTTTTTAGCAGAATAAGAATTATTTGAATTTACAATAGTAATAGAATAAGCAGAATTACTGAAAGATTTTGATCATATATTAACTTGATATATCATTCTATATACAGAGGGTGGACAAAAGTATCTGCATACCCTCTATAAACGCGAATTAATACTAGAAAAGTCATATGACCACAATAACAAATTGCGATCATATGATATGTTAGTGTTTATTTATATTATAAACATAAAAAAATAACAATTTAATTTTTTTTTTAATAAATTTTCTTCTCCAAAACTCTAAATAAAAAAAATGGTAAAAACTAAAGAATTAACTGCAGAACAACGCGAAGCTATAATTTATTGCTATCAATGTGGTAATAGTTATCGGACTATTGCTAATACCGTTGACTGCTGAGTGTTAACTGTTCGTGATACTATTAATCGATATCATAATATCGGATCAACCAAATCAATGCATCGTTCTGGACGTCTGCCTTTAATTCCAATCTCACAACGAAATCGCCTTAAACGAATCGTGATGAATGATAAAACTAAAAATCGTCATCTATATGCAGCTGGAATACAACAGCTTTGGAAGAAGAAGACTGGGCAAGATGTTTCGACCAAGATGATTAGACGAACCCTCCATTCAGCTGGATTAAAAAATTGTGTTGCAAGAAAAAAACCATTAATTTCACCAGCAAATATTGAGGCGCGTCTTGAATGGTGTTTAGAACATCAAAGCTGGACTAAAGCGGATTGGTCGAAAGTCTTGTGGAGTGATGAATCCACATTCTCTCAATTTCAACAAAGCCGCTCTAGTAAGGTTTGGCGTGAACCGAAGGATGAATGGACTTTATCCTGTATTACAGCTACAGTAAAACATAGTCCTAGTCGAATGTACTGGGGCTGCTTTTCAAGAAAAAGTATGGGGCCAATTGTTCCATTGTCTGGAACAGCAACTGGTAATTCACATGTCATCATTCTTCGTAAATATGTTGTTCCGGCCATGAGAAAATCTTTTCCAAATTATGATGGCTGGTTTCAAGAAGATAATGTTCAGTCTCATAAATCAAAGGTTGCAATGTCTTTTAAGCGGAAAGCAATCTTCGTACATTATCTTGGCTAGCACAAAGTCCCGATCTTAATCTGATTGAGAATCTTTGGGCTGAAGTCAAGAAAACCATCCGAGCTTATAAAAAACCTCCATCTAATCTTGCTGTTCTTGACCAATATGTTAAAAAGGCATGGAAAGAAATTCCGAAGCATACTATCAAAAACCTAGTCGATAGTATGCCACAACGAATTCAAGCCGTGATTGTGGCAAATGGTGGCCGAACTAAGTACTAGTTACTTAGTACAAAATTTAGATCTTAATCAGCTTTAAATAAAATATTAATTAACCTTTCATTGTTAATGCAAAATTATTTGAAGTTTTATATTGAGTGAAAAAGTGTGCGGATACTTTTATCCACCCTCTGTATTTTAGTATATATATATACATTATATTTATCAATGTGACACTGCCAGTATATTTTTATTAATTAAATTATAAACTATGATATCATGTGTCGTTATGCATCGGGAAAATAAATCTCAGCCAAATATTAGCGTAAAAAAATTGAATACTTATCATGTAGCATTATCTTTCTTAATTTAGTTAAATTATTTTTTGAGTAAGAGTTTATTGTATGAGAAATATTCTATTTTATAAGAGCGTATTCTTTCTTTTACTATACTTTGCTTTACCTATATTTTGCTTTAGCTATGCATTAGTCTTGCTATACTTTTTCTTTTTAAAATGCTATGCTTTTATTTGAAATCTTTTTTTTCCATATCTGCTTCTATATTTAATTTATAAAAATTTTTTTAATAATTTAGTTAATAATTATATTTGGTTTAGTGATCTATTTATGTAAGCAAAGATTAATTTAAAACAATAAAAAAAGATTTACATTTTACTAGTGATTGGAGAAAATAAACAAAATAGAATTAAAGTTAATCTCTATAAATAAATGATTCGTTTTTTTTCTGAATTTGTTAATTATCGATCTAAGAAATTCTTATTTATCTTTTACATCTATATATATATTAATAAATAAAAAAGCTTTTTGTAAAAAAAAAAAATAAATATTAAATAATATCATCAATTATATCCCAATTGCGTTTATTAAAAGTTTAGTAGAAAAAAAGGTATAGCATATAGTAAAATAGAATAGATCACAATGAATTTATCAAAATTCAATTTTAAAGCATTTAGA